ATAATAATAATAATCAGTGACCACATAATATAGTTTTCATGTTGAGAAAATGGAATATGTCCACCTGTGGGGTGGAATGTGACATCAGCTGAAGTTGAGTGGATGAGACACACAAGAAACGACATGCTTTAGTTGTGCTATCCAATGATTGTCCACATACATCATAAAATATGGGCTGTACTGTATTTTGAGTGGATTCTGCAGCATGCCTGAATCACAAACAAAATGTAAAGATGTCCTCAAAAAAGCCACCACCTACCTCTGCATGAAGAAGGTCAAGTGCTTCTTGAACATAATTGGAAAAGTTTACTGCTGAATAGTGATTCTAGTGAAAGGAAGAGATGAAAAGAGAGGGTTACTAAACCATGAAAAGTCACAATGAACAGAATTGCTGCAGACATCATGATGTAAAATGACATGGAACTTCTCCTGTATATCACTTCTGTATGGGGAAGCTTAATATCAAATATACCAAACTAAACAGAAAGCAATGCAGGTCATGTCACACCTGAAAAGATGAACAAAATTATTTGGCAAGAAAGCATTTCTTTAACTTTGCAGCTTACAGATAATTTTGTCAGACACCTCTGATGATCGGTATGGTATTACAATGCTTTGTATTTTTGCTGTAACAAACTAACCCAGTTACTCCCCGCCCTGAGAAATGTGGTGTTGTGTATAGAGTTTGCCTTTGAATATACATGGCATTGTGACTTATCCTTCTGTTTGACCTGTTGGGCTGCAATTTACATCCTTGGCAAAGTAAGCCTCTTCTTCTTCTTCTTTTTTCTTTTCTTTTTCTTTTTGCAGACAATCTCTGCAAATGTAAGGAATTTCCTTCCTACAGGAGGGGGAGACAAGGCTAGGAATGGAAACAGTATGCTTCTTTCTTTCTTTCTTCTTCTTTTTTTTTTGCAGACAATCTCTGCAAATATAAGGAATTTCCTTCCTACAGGAGGGGGAGACAAGGCTAGGAATGGAAACAGTATGCTTGGTCTCACCCTTGGAGGCTGCTGTAAGCATTTTTCCGTATTCTTGAAAAGGACTTACGTATGTTTCTAAATAATCTGTCCAGAAATGTCTCAAGTCTTTGGAATGCCACAGCCTGCAGTTTGCAGGAGGGCACAGAAATAGAAGCTTAGCAGTTCTTAATGAAGACAAAGAACGTGTAAGAGATGAAGAGTATTTTTAACTGACTTTGGCTGAAACTGGCACACAGCTGTCATGCTTTAGGAATGTGATGGGTGATCGGTGATTACAAGTATTTTTAAAAAATATGCTGTGCTCACATATTTATAAGCTAGTGACGATACCTCAGTCTTCTTTGCTCTTTCATTGCAAAGAAGCATCAGACCCCCACAAGAAAGTTACTGTAACTTCCTGCTGCTTGGAGAAGTAAGGTTGGTTGCTTTCTTTTCAAATTTTTTTTAATAAATTTGGATTTTGACAAAGCTGGTTTAATACCTTAAGCTACCATCTTCAGTCTCAAAACAAAAGTGATGACTCCCTAATCAGTATATTTCAGTAGATATGACAATTTAAAGCAAAGTAATTTTAAAAAGTGTGCTGCTTATCTACTGCCCCATAGTGCATAAAGCACTCTTGGGGTGGTTTACAATTTAACTATGCAGCTACATGCGATTTTGACAAAGCTGGTTTAATACCTTAAGCTACCATCTTCAGTCTCAAAACAAAAGTGATGACTCCCTAATCAGTATATTTCAGTAGATATGACAATTTAAAGCAAAGTAATTTTAAAAAGTGTGCTGCTTATCTACTGCCCCATAGTGCATAAAGCACTCTTGGGGTGGTTTACAATTTAATTATGCAGCTACATGTTGCCTGCACCCAGCAAGCTAGGTATTTAATTTACCAACCTCAGAAGGACAGAAGACTGAATCAACCTTGAGCTGGCCTCCTGAGTCTACTGGGATCAAACTCAAGTTGTGAGCAGATTTTTGACTGCGGTACTACAATTTAATCATTGCACTATGAGACTCTTTAAGGCAGATTAGGCTGCAAAGGTTTCCAGTTATTTTTCCAACATGTTTCTGGAGCTTTTTGTAACATCAGGTTACCACAAGTAACTGCATAAAGTGAGGAATTTATTACTGTTTCTGGGCAGTAACAGATATTACAGATACACCATCACTAGGAATGAGAATTCCTTAACTGTCAAAAGCATCAGACTCCTTTGAAGCCTAATTTTCTAATGTTTGTCTGAATTACATCTGTTCAGTGCTAACATGTGTTTAGCACAATTAATAGGTTAACAGCTATTTTTGCCCTCTTTTCACAGCTCCATGAGCAGAAGAGGACAGAAGGATTATTTATCTGCCTCAGCTTTTGCTCACCCCAGAAGCATTGTTTTAGGAAGCACAACAACTTTTGTTCTAATGCTAGTCATTCTAGACCAGAAGAGTCAGAAACACCTCCCCCCACCTATCAGCTGAGTGATTCAGGCTCCTCTAATTTTCTTTGTGGTTTTTACCACAAAGGAAAATCTTCATTGAATCCTTGAAACTCTCTATCTTGACCTTCATTTGGTATCATACAACTTCCAGAACATTCTCATACAACTCACAATATCTTTGCAATAGTTGCATAGGTCGTGAACTCCAATGTATATAGTTATGATCTTCCAGTCAGTTTCAAACTTGATTCTCTAATAAAGGAAAGAAAGTTGATATGTAAATATATATTGTATAGCATTTATGTCTTATCCATACATGCATATAATATATGGTTGTCAAGCTGTAACTTCATGAGGCACCATCTGTGATGCTTGACAGAGTCAAATGAATAGGTAAGTTTTCTGAATCCCTGCAAACATACCGAAGAAGAAGAAGAAGAAGTAGTAGTAGTAGTAAACTCAACAAAGCCTGGCTCCCAGCACTGAAAAATACAGCCTGCAAAAAGGTCAATCAACTCCACCCAGCCATAATGACCAGTGAGCACTGCACACAAAAGACTAGCTAACAACACCCATCAATCACAGTGACAGATCATTTCCCCCTTTATCACAACAATACACCCATAACAAAAAAACACCCTGATCACCTGAAAAGGACAAAAAGCTGATCCCACAGCCGCAAATACTCAGCTGTCCCACACACTACACCAGAACACAGAGTTCTAACTCCTGTCCTCTGAAGATGCTGGCCACAGAGACTGGCAAAATGTTAGGAAGAAAAACCTACAGAACATGACCAAACAGCCCGAAAAACCTACAACAGCCACTGGATCCCAGTCATGAAAGCCTTCGAGAATACATACCAAGTCATTTTTCATTGATTTCACAAGTCGCCTTACTTGGTCTGGTAAATCCCTAGAAAATAAAACAAACAGTGAATCAAGACAGTATGTCCATATTCATAGATACACCTCTATAGTTCATCCTCTCTTTTTTTAAACCTTATATGTAAAGTAAGAAATGGCCATTTCCCTTTTGCTAATGGAGAACCGTGGTCCCAAAAAGGGCACTGCCTAACTTTAACTTCCCCGAAGCTGATGCTCCTTTGATGCATTGAACTACAGCTTACTGGCTGTGAGGTTCTGGAACTTACAGTCCAATATATCAGGAGGGCACGAAATCGGGAAAGGATCATTTCATGATTGGTGAAAATGCAATTTGAGGTTATAGTTCACTAGGCCTAGAGCAGTACCTTCATGCAGAACTATCTAAGCTATAACATCACTGTTTACAACTAGATCAAGAAAAGGGGGACAGGGGGACAGTCAAGGCAGTGATTCATCAGTGAAAAGTGTTTGATGACTCATTTTTAACACCACGGAAACCCACAAAGTAATCAGACATGATCAGACCCAGTGGAAATGTGCCTTGTGAATCAGCAAGTCTTGTTTTTGAGGCCAAATACAGAATTTTTCTCCCATTTTGTGTTTGGGTTCTTTCTGAACGGTATAAAAGTTGCAACAGAGATGATAGCTTCTATGGGGACATTTTTGTGAAAATGTATCAAAGGAAAAGAAAACAAATAATATGGTATTTTCTTTCAAAACCATAATTAAACTCTGGAAGAAATCAATACTGGCAACCTCAAGCTCACATGCTAAAGCTACCTCTTACTTGAGTTACTTTTTCCCTGCTCCCAGTTGGGAACACAACTGCACTGACACAACTGCACTGATGTGCTCTAACAGCAATGAGAACAGAAAAGAAATGGAAAACTGTGGGTTTTTCTGAAACTCCAGAGCCGAAACTCTGTTCCTTTATGAGGGACACTTAACGGCTTTTGAAACTGTATGGCTGGTATGAGATTTCAAATGCCCCTGTGAGTTCTCAGTAAGATTGATTTACACTATTCAAATATCAGCAGAGATAATTAGGTAAATTTGATAAGATAAATCTTTACTTGCTGCAGTTGTATGTGCCATCCAGGGACTGTATCAAGTTTACTTTATCTCTACCAGATAAGACTTCAGATGAAACATGGGAGAAATGACTTCTAATATGTGTGTCTTTGAGGGTTCAGGGACATCACCATAGTATCTGTGTTCACAGACAACAGATGGAACAGTGGGAAAAGCAAGCATCTGCTTTCTCTCACTGGGGTATATATTTCTGATGTGAACAAACATTGGGGAAGTCATGAGGTTTCTCGGAAAGCCACTTCTTTCACATTGCTGCTGAATAATTACAAGATGAAGATGCTGAACAAAGGGGGAGGCGACTTCCTTTCAGATCAAAGGCTAGTTAAAATGATTCAGTCCATTTATACCACCATCAGTGCCCTGAAGAAATATCAAAAACCCACTAAATGCAACAGAACTGTGCAGGACTGAATGTCTTCAGAGCCAGAATTTGGAAGTACAGTAATGTATTAATATAACATTATCTTTGACGTGTTCGTTCTGACATAGCAAAGGAATAACTATGACTTTCCCTCTGTGTTTCAATGTCAATGTTAACATTTTTGAGGGGTGGGTGGATAATAAATAATGTTTATCCATGATTCTTAAAATTGTGCTTCCTCATGGGTCAGGAGAATGACTCTTATGGGTCATTTTCTATTTTTTAGCCCATTAAAATAAACTAATTATAAAAGGTTAATTAAAAACCAGAAGTTGCTAGTGCTACTTGTAAACTAATTAGTAATGATAATGGTACTGTGTTATGAAAAATGCTATTCTTCCACCTAGCTACAGAGTGACATTTGTGAATGCCAGTGCTATGAAGCCGGTTCCCGTGTTAGACGACCTTGCCAGCATTTCATCTTTTATCCATCTCGTGCTAAGCACAGTCAGTGCTGGAATGGTCACTAAGCCCTTTATGCCCGCAGAAACTTTAACACTAGTACACCCACAGGAGAAAGCTTTCTCACATCTACTGTGTGGGGATGGGTTAGACAACTGCTGGGGGGCAATTCATTCAAGATGCCTTCTAGAGTGTTTGTTTTTGTTTTGGTAGCTGTCTAAGAAAGGGCCCTCAGTTTACCCCTCCAGTTTTCTTCCTGTCTTTTAATTCTGAACAAAAGCCTTCTTGGCCCCCGTAAGCAGATGAAAACCCATTATGATGTTCTTCATGTGCATGGATGGAAGGAAACATACTCAGCCTTTGCTCCTGGAACTGCCTGGTTGAGAAAGGCATTTGTCTCATTTACACCGCCTGTGCCTGTTGAATAACCGGTGAGGTTAGCACTGAACTCTCGAAGGATGTCTGAAAGAAAGAGAAATCATGAGAAGAAATACAAGACTTTTACTTGGATTAGACTAGAAGATATCTGGATCCCTTCCAGGCTCTACAGTTCTATGATCTATGGAAAAGGAACAATTACCAATGAAAGCAGCTTATGGGTTCTTCATAAATTGTGTTGCTTCCCCTACTGGCTGGGCCACAACTTATTACACAGGTACTTCATAGGTTAGGCACTGTGCAGGACACTAAATTAACTCATTAAGAGACATGTTGGCCCAAGCTGTGGTCTGTCACATGCCACCAGAATTTCCCACAGAGCGCCTGCCATCTCTGCCTCTAGCTTTAGCTCCAGCTACCAGATGAAGATCATTTTTAATGCAGGTGGGGTTTTTTTTGTTTTTTTTTACTTTGGTATCTTCAAAAATAATAATGTTTAATGTACACTGCTTGTTATAGTTCTTTTTTTTTACATCTTACTGTTGTTATTGAACAAAAGTTTACTAAGTGGAAAGGCAGGATGTAAATTATTCTCCTATATGAACGAATGAATATAAATCTTATATTTAATAGTCCCAGGGCAACCTGACCATTCAGTGTATGATCCAAGAACACAAACTGTTCCCTGTTCCCAGCTGTAGCCCTTACTCCAGAGATGATATTTTGATTTGATGAAAAAAAGCTGCATAGACAGCAGTGCCTAAATGCAGAAATGAATACTCTTGACCAGACCTGGGCAAAGTGCGGCCCTCCAGATGTTCCTGAACTGCAAATCCCAACATTCCTCACTGTGTGGGCTAGGCCCAACTCTCCTCACACTATTGGCTGTGTGGGTTAGGAATTATGGGAGTTGCTGTGTGGGTTAGGAATTATGGTGGGCTGCATTTTGCCCACCCCCGCTCTTGAAAAAGACCAGTCCTGAACATTTCATTGCCTGAGGTACAAAGATAAAATGGAGCCTCCATCCCTATTTTGTACAGAAAAAAACTAGACTGGCAACGGAGGGCCGCATTTTGCCCACCCCTGCTCTTGACAAAGACCAGTCCTGAATATTTCATTGCCTGAGGTAAAAAGATAAAATGGAGCCTCCATCCCGATTTTGTACGGAAAAAAACTAGACTGGCAAACAAAATTTTACTTCATTGCTGTTGATGGGAGAGGATTTTCCACTGTGCCTGGAGATCCCAGGCCAGTTGAAGGAGATGACATTGTCCTGCAAGAGAGCAGAATAGCTGAGGTTCTTAGAAGAATCATCTAGGGCCTTATCCCTGGTACCTGCACTCTAGCATCTGCCTCCCTGAGGTGCTTGTCTCATCCTGTTTAATGGTAGGCCCAGGCACTTAATCCATGTAGATCTAGCAGTGACTGCATAAGAATATCTGTGCGATTTATAGGAAAAAAAATCTAATGGCACGAGCAAGTCACAGCTCCTAGCCCTTCTTGATTCACTACTGTTTATGGTAATACCCAGAAAGAAAAACTGTTATTTTAATACTCCATGACCGCAGGAGCAAAGCTTCTACTTACTTGGCAAAGTTGTGACAGTTTTTAATGATGCATCTCCCCCAATGCTGCAATAGGAAAATGGAAAACAACAGTAACAAGGGCCAACAAGCTACCTTTCAGTTAAGTTTTAGAACTAGGGACAAACATCAAAGGAAAAATATGGTGGTTTTGCAAGTACAATACAATGACTGTGGTCTGGAACTTCGAATCAGAAGTACTGTTAAGCTTCAGGGAACGGGGAAGAGGGAGGCAAACAGCTGCTATAGTCATATTCCTATTTTTTATTATTAGTGCTTATTAGTATTAGTAATATTACTTTTCTACTTCAGCTTTATTTTTTTAAAAATGGGGTTACACACAATGCTTTAAAAAAGTATTCCAACTTTGCACCATCACAAATAGCACACAAAAGCCTGAATCACTTTCTCTGTTTTCAGTTAAAAGGTATAGAAGTTACTAATACATATAAGACGTTTGTTAAGATCTGATACAAGTCACAAACTACTGAAACACCTATAGCATGACTGGGGAACCTATGGCCTCCCCAATACTGTTGGACTCCACTTCCCATCAGTTGCAACCAGCTTGGCTAATGGTACCAGATGATAATAGTAGCAGTTTGTCAACATTCTGAGGGCTACAGGTTTTGTAAGCCTGGCTTATGGGATCGGAATGCTTATGGCAAGCAGGAAAGGACAGCCTGTCCCATGTTCTTGGGCTACAACTCCTATCAGCCCATGCCAGTGTAGTCAGTGGCAAGAAATGATGCAAAATGCTGCTCAGTAACATCTGTCAGGCCACTCTTTGTCTATTTCTCTGTTTTAGGAATTATGCTGGCACAGATGTTTGCTCCTGATAAGCTCTCATAGTAAAGGTATCTCTTCTACCAGGACATACCAGATATTCAAACCTCTACAAAACACTTCCCATAGTTCTAAAATAATCTTTGTTTTTTTGAAGTTTTGATCTGGAAATCCTGAATTTAAAAAAAAAAAAAAAGTAAACAAAAGGGGCAATATATAGCTCAGTGTTTTCAGTATCTAGCTGCAGGCCAGAGTTTGGGAGTTTGATTCCCCATTATGCCTTCTTGACAGGAGCTGGTCTCGATGATCCATAGGGTACCTTCCAACTCTGCCGGGAGTTTGATTCCCCATTATGCCTTCTTGATAGGAGCTGGTCTCAATGATCCGTAGGGTACCTTCCAACTCTGCAGTTCAAAGATTGATCAATTGATCGATCGATCGATCGATTGAAGCAGATCTGCATTATCAACCTTTAAAAGGTTGAAGAGTTATTTCTTCCTGACAGAAAACAGTGACTGCTGTAGTTGTGGAACAGCCATGGCTGTTAGTCAGACAAGTTTGGATGGCAGCGGGTTGGAATGCGGCAACTCTAGAACTGTGATCTCTTATAGAGAATTCTTAGTATGTCACTAAATAACAGTTTGCACCCATCCTTTGGATGATGCTATGAGATTAAAATTAGCTATACTGATGCATTTATGGTAGAGGCACACAGCCACAAAGAACAGGCACTGACATGTTTAACATTTGTCCACTGTATTGAGAAGTGCTGTACAGTTATCTACCTCTATCACTTCTCACTGAAGAATACATGTCTGGCACAACTTGGACATGTTATCTTTGGACCACAATACTGTGGGCCAAACCGCAGAAGCCTGTGCTACAGGGTCAGAAGACCAGCAGTCGTAAGATCGAATCCATGCAACGGAGTGAGCTCCCGTTGCTTGTTCCAGCTCCTTGCCAACCTAGCAGTTCGAAAGCATGCAAATTCGAGTAGATAAATAGGTACCACCTCAGTGGGAAGGTAAAACGACGTTCCCTAGTCACACTAGCCATGTGGCAATGGAAAATGGGATGAGCACCGCCCCCTAGAGTCGGATACGACTGGACTAAAAATGTCAAGGGGAACATTTACTTTTTTTGAGAATAAAACTGGATAAATGCATATAGTTTATTTCTGCCATTTTGCACTAAAGTGGAAAAGGCTATATATATCTGTCAGTACATGGAAAAGTTACTTTTTTGAGATTACATCTTCCAGTATAACCCAGCCAGCATGACCATGCTATCTGGAAGATTGTGGGAGCAATCATGCAAAAAAGTAACTTTTCTATGTGCTAAGGCTTGTCTACCCATGTATGTGGCTTAGTGGTTCCATGGAGCATAAAGACAAGACACCTACCTCCAGGCCAGCCCCCGATACTCTGTGTTCATATCAAGCATGTCACTTGGTTTTGATCCAATACCATTACCAGCCTGCCTTGAAAAAAACCAGACAGATAGAAAGGTTTGGCTATTCATGTGCTCTGGATTTTCTTTCTTGTTGTTCATAATGAAACAGTCCTTTTAAGGCTTTGGCTCCAGGAACAAGGGCACCTGACCTTTGAGATGGAGGATTATATGATAATTAAAAAGCTTCTCCATATGACATTTTGGAAACTCAAAAACAGCTGCTTTGTACATCATGTTCCATCAGCAAGATTTGTGCTTGCATGAAGTAGAGCTCAAAAAAATCTTATGAGCATCGCTCATGGTTAACTGGGCAATGAACTGGAATAGTCACAGAGACTGGCCACATCATCTCACCTGTATACTTCCTCCTATTTCGTCTTTACAGAATTTTAAAAATGCAGCATAAGTTTGGTTCATGTGCATAAATATACAGCTGGATCAGAGGTCAATGCGACACCCTGCATCTAAATATAGGGCTAGATATGAGATATTATATGATAAGAAGACAGATATGGTAGGAAGGAATATCAATGAAGCTTATACATACTACTAACAGGGTTGGTTCAGGTGTGTAACTACTTTACACAAGGTGTGGTGGCCATTTTATTTTCCATCAATGGTGATACCTACAAAGTAGCTATGACAAATGAGCAAGGCACATTCTCTGTGCTTTTCTCTGCATGGAGGGGGAAATGACATCAGGCTTTAAACCATGTTACAGGAAGGAGGGAGATTGTGGGAGGATCCTCATGATGTCATCCAACCTGCCATCTTGGTTGGTACCAAGGTGGGATCCAATCACTTCTCTGCCCTGTATCCATCCTGTGTCTTAAAACTGCTGCAAGCTGCTATGGGATGTCGAAGTGGGCTGAGCTGCATGGCAAATTGGGCAAAAGAAAAATAATAACTACTTCTTCAATACTGCCTTTGCAAAAATCTGGCACTTGTTATCCTCCTGTGGCATTGCCCTTAGCTTACATTGCAATTGTTATCTCATTCAGATTGGTCCTCCAACATTGGCCCAGTTAAGAGAGGGGGTTCAGGGAAGAATAATATTTCCCTACACAGCTTGCACCACAACATCTTCTCTCTCTCTCTCTCTCTCTCTCTCATGAGGCAGCACATAAGCCCAGTAGCCTCTGTCAAAGGATGAACATTATGACTCAACAGCACCACAGAGGGTAGGAGAGAATGGCAAAAAAAAAAGCACTCTACCGTCAAGGAATCCCCCAAGGCAGCTATTACTTGCACATCAGCTGGTTTCAAAGCATGCACTGTAAGGGGAGGAGAAAAAAAGTTATTTTTTATTTATTTAAAATAAGATGTATTTAATCTTGTAACAGGAAGGAGGATTATGTTTTTTGTATGGTTGTATAATATAAACCGGCCTCTAGTATATGGTAATGTTCCAATAACAAGACAAGATTAACTGGATGAAATTCAGGAGAGTGGGTAAAGATACATTGAAGGAAATCTCCCTGGTGAATTCCGTGGTGATACTGCTGAAATAAAGAAGGCTTAGGAAAACCAAGGATTAAGGGTTAATGGGTTTTGTTTGTTTGTTTGTTTGTTTGTTTTTTGATAAGAATGCTGTGAGATGCTCAGATCCAGTCCTCCACTTAAAACAAATTTCTGTGTACAGAATTTGGGTCTCTTGCACTAGGCTCCAATTAGGTTTCCACTAAACAAGCAAGCAAGCAAGCAAGCAATCCACACACTAATTTAACCATTCTCTATAAAATAAAGCAAGGGAGTGAGGAGCAGAATAGAAAACACTGTTAAGGAACAGTTAAGGAGGCTTCTTTTTAGATCCTTTTTAGATCACCAGAACTCAGGTAAAAAGATGGGATTGGGGCATTTAAGTAATGTGCGGTGCCAACATGCTGAATGGTGCCAGAAGTTGGTGCTTCATATTCGCCTGGCACCTTTTCAGATGCCAGCATTGTGAATGGACTAGTGTTATCAGTACTACAAGCACCATAATAATAGGTACTTCTGTGGGGTAGCCTTCCTCTGAGCTCCAGTGCCAGTATAAAGCCTGGAGGAAATGTCCATGTATTTAGTTGGATACTGGTAAGGCCCAAGGTGTCAACTATAGCAGCTAATGGGTGCATTTTGCTGCCTGCCTGGAAATGTGGAGACAGGTCGATTTCTACTCTTCCTCCTCCCCTCACAGTTCTGGACTACCATATTACCAAGTTAGCTGAATTTTATCCAATGTTGGGGCTCATTTTCCCAGATTCGCTCATAACCTTTTCCACAGTTAGCAGTAGGTTCTCAGTCCTTGAGATGTCAACGTTAAAACCTGAAACCAGGGAGTGGGTCTAAGGGTTGGGAGGGGTCCAACACTGTTTGGCTACCTCCACTGCTATGAAATCACAAGGGCCCACCCTGTGACATGAGAAAGACCCAGGGCCTTGAAATCTCTAGGCCTGGGAAACTGTTCCCTAGGCGATCTTAACCGCCATGACAGTTGAAGTGGTATCAAACTGCTATAATGGTGAAGTGTTATTGCTTGTGTCTATGCTTGTAAACTGAAAGCATCATTTTACCAGCAATATTGTAAAAGTACAGCAAAGTACAATATACAAAGCCTTTACATTATTGTTAATTGTTTACAGAAACGTTTAGTTCACCAATTACTTGAAAGGGTGATTATTTTTAACTCGCTGAGCAAGCATATCTTCCAACTAGCTGAGTAAATGTTGCATCATCATATTTCAGTAAACTATGCAAACTAATTCCAGCATATAAGCAGCTGTTCTCACACAATGAGGGACATAAAGGAGAAAGAGCTGGGGCACCTTGAAGACTAATTTATTGTTACTGGAGATGGGAGCCTTCTATAAGACATGAACATCTATGAAGCATGTTCTTGCCTATAAAAGCTGAGGGAAGTTGTTGTAAAAACTGATGTATGCTTGTTTATTATACATTATTTTATAACTTAATAAAACTTTGTTGTTGTTTAGTTGTTTAGTTGTGTCCGACTATTCGTGACCCCATGGACCAGAGCATGCCAGGCCATCCTGTCTTCCACTGCCTCTTGGAGTTGGGTCAAATAAAACTTTAAACTTATGAAATTAAAAATAAACATTAGATACCGTGTTTCCCCAAAAATAAGACAGGGTCTTATATTAATTTCTGCTCCAAAAAATGCATTAGGGCTTATTTTCAGGGGGTGTTTTGTTTTTTTCATGTACAACCATCTATAGTTATTCAAATACAGTCATGTCATCTTTTTCTGGTTGCTACACAATGGTGGAGGGTGGGGTTTCACTTAACTGTGGTTTATTTGGGGTGGGTAGGGCTTATATTACAAGCATCCTGAAAAATCATACTAGGGCTTATTTTCAGGTTAGGTCTTATTTCCAGGGGGAAAAGGTAGCATTGTGTAAACATCTGTTGTCCCACTGAACTCAGTAAGTGTTACTTCTGAATAAATGTGCATAAAAATCACATCCACACTTGAGTTCATCATTTCTTATTGCCTTGAAAAGACTCCTTTTATTAAATGGTGTACAACCTGATTTAAAGAATAGCAGCTCCCTAGCATCCTTCCAAACCATTCTTTTCCAGCCCTACAATCCAAATTTCTTTAATGTCTGGGTCCATAGATGAAAACTGCAACATTGTATACATAGTGTATGTGGTCTGCCACTAATCGCTAATTTGCACATTTTTTTCTGAATAAAGTTACCTTCTGTGCACAAGAACCACAGTTGAAAGTGTGATACAAGTGTTACTATTATTATTATTTTTACTCCATAAAGCCTTGGAAAGAGGACACATACATTATCTTCGTATAAGGAAGAAGCAGAGAGCAAGGATACAATATTCAAATTGGTGGTGAGTAATAGCCTTTTCTGTCATCAACTTGGATATCAAGAAGCAGCTTAGGTTACCTGAAGCAGGGTAGTTGACAGATGGAATTCTATCCTCACACAGCAACTGGCTTCCGTAAACTGAGGTGATTACATTGGCGTACGTGTAGTTGCTATTTCTGTGTGTCATTAAATATGGCTGGTCCTATGGAACAGGGATACCCAAGTCAAAATGAAGAGATGGTAACGAGGAGCCCTCTAGAGGAAACACTTGTGTTACAAATGACAGTCTTCTGTATCTAACAAGGGCCAAACTGTACAAGATGGCAGGACATGGGCAATTGGACATCCTACACCTTAAGAAGATGAAAGACCCTACTATGAGGGATGTCAGACTAGGAATATGTTATTCTCTGTGGTGTGTGTGGAGTGCCTGGGACTCTGCCTCTACACACCACATTGTTTTCCCAATCTAAATTACCACCCCAGTCTTCTGTTTGTTCCACAGAGAAACAGGTAAATACCCTGGAGATAAACAATTACTTCAAAATGTGTCTTAGGTTAAGAAAATGGCACAAGGGAGAAGGACCTTCAAGGAATCCTTGCTACCTCCAGCATAGAGACTGGAAAAGTTGAATCACAACTTTGTGATTGCCCACTGGTGCACTGGCCATGTTGGTTGTCATATACTCTGAATTCTCATCTCCAAAAGCAATTCTTCCCATCCCTGCCCCCAGCTCTGAACTGATTGGCCTCTTTACATTACCTGCACTTTACATGATCTACACTCTAGATGACTTACACATGCCTCTTTACGTGACCTACAAAAGGGATAGCACTTTTCAAATACTTGAAGGCTGTCATACAGAGGAGGGGCAGGATCTGTTCTCAATCATCCCGGAGTGTAGGACACACAACAATGGGCTCAAGTTATAGGAAGCCATATTTCAGTTGAATATCAGGAAACACCTCCTAACTGTTAGAGTCGTACGGCAATGGAACCAATTACCTCAAGAGGTGATGAGTGTTCCAACACTGGAGGCATTCCAGAGAAATTTAGACAACCACCTGGCAGATATCCCTTTGATTTGTATTCCTGCACTGAGTAGGGGGTTGGACTTGATGGCCTTATAGACCCCTCCTGTGATCCTACACCTAACTTTACAAACTTACCTTATGCAGTAGCATAAGGTAAGTTGCCGTTTTGTACATTTGTACCCAAACAAATGTGGCACTTCCATCCCTTGGTCAAACAAGTTTCTAGTCGATCCAAGAAATTGGAGGATCACAGAGTATCTCCACAATGTTTATTTGTCCCATCCTCTTTACACAGGGAAGGAAATGCATGGAGCCAACTTTTGTAAATTAGCTCTCAGAATCCTCGAACCAGGATGGTCACCAGCCATCCCACAAAATAAACTTTTCTAACTCTTCATGGAGTACCCAATTCCAAAAGCTGCAGAGTTCCAGGCAGACAGTATGAATGTGACATTCAGGACAGACTAAATAAGGCCATTTCCACTTGATATTCCCTGCCAGGAGTATAAACAATGCAGTTGTCTGACTGTCTGTCTGTCTACAGTGGTGCCTCGCTTAGCGATGTTAATCCGTTCCGGGAAAAAAGCTGCTAAGCGATTTCATCGCTAAGCGAAATTTAAAAGCCCATAGAAACGCATTAAAACACGATTAACGCGTTCCTATGGGCTAAAAACTCACCTTTAAGTGAAGATCCTCCATAGGGGCAGCCATTTTCGCTGCCTCTTAAGCAAGGAAACACAGCGGGCAGCCATTTTGTTTTCCCGGCGGCCATTTTAAAACTGCCGATCAGCTGTTTAAAAAGGGGTGCTTTGCCATGATCGCTTCCCCGTGATCATCGCAAAGTGAAAAAACCCTATAGGGACCATCGCAAAGCAATCGTTTTTGTGATCGCAAAAACTCCGTCGCTAAGCAATTTCGTCGTTCAACGGAGCTATCGCTATGCGAGGCACCACTGTATGTATGTATGTATGTATGTATGTATGTATGTATGTATCTATCTATCTATCTATCTATCTATCTATCTATCTATCTATCTATCTGTCCGTCCGTCCGTCCGTCCGTCCGTCCGTCCGTCCGTCTGTCTATCATTTGGATTTCTACCCTGCCCATCTAGACCAAAGGTCTACTCTGGGTGGCATTACAAATTTAAAAACAGGTGTTGAGGTTAGTCATTTGCCCAAGGTTATGTTGAAAGGGAGAGACACTTGCGAACACTGATGAAGCCTCCTCTGTCTTTCAAGCTTTTTCTTCTCTCTCTAATTCCCTTGTGCTCTAGTTACACAGTACAGATGTGACATCTTTACTTCCTTCTCTGTTGTGACTCAATGACTCTTTCTCCTTCCACAGTAATCCCTTCTCAAACCACCTTCACTGCACTGAAATCTGAAAAGTAGTGGTGTTCTCTCCAGGCAGCAGCAACTTAGGGTCAAGCTAGATGATGCACTCTGAGCTTACAGTATTTCCTCCACATGTGGAAACTGGAAAGGCTTATTACAGGTCTCATTGCTGAAACATGGGTATTTGAGAAAATCTGCCAGGAAAAGTAATAGGTAATCAGAGGAAATATGCATTTCTTTCGCATCTAGTTTGACTTTGAGGCATCTTGTCTTTTTTTTTTTAAACAGAAAATGCTTTTCTCCCTTCTGTATGTTGCAGCACTTTGCCTGAGACTGCTCAAGATATTCTGCTGCCTGAGGTGAACGACAGGATGGCAGCCAAATCAATCCATTAGAAATGTGATGACAAACGGGCAGTTAACTCCTGCTTATTACTGGTGCTAAGAGACTATTCTGCCTTTCATTTTTCAGTAGGCTAATTTTCAGTGCTCAGGGCAGGTTTTGTGGCATAGGAAGTTCAGCTTTCTTCCCAAGGAATCTGCTCACTCACACAGAGAGACACCACATTTTCATACATATACCTCAGGCAATTGTCTTTCTTGCTCACTAGCAAGGCCAGCACAGCCTCTTCTCTGTGTAAGACTAGGCCACTGTTGCATATCATCTACCAGAAGGCTAATGGTCAGTTGGATTGAAGTGTGTGTGTATACAGTGGGGTCTTGACTTGAGAACTTAATCCGTATTGGAAGGCGGTTCTCAAGTCAAAAAGTTCTCAGGTCAAATCTGCATTTCCCATAGGAATGCATTGAGAACCATTTGATCCGTATCTGCTCTTTTCCGTCCATAGAAACTAATGGGGAAGCTGCTATTCCGCCTTCGACCACTAGAGGGGGATATTTTGTTTCTTTTTTTCTTAGGTCAAGAAAGGTTCAGGGAAGGCAAGGAAAATACAGTCCAGGCAGTACAGTACCAGGCAGTCTGAAGACTGTCTCCCAATCCACTCTCTAAACGCTGGGAGGAGTGAGGAAGCAGACAGGCACCCTTTTCACTGGCCAACAGTTAACTGAAAGTTCAAATTTTGCACTTTCCCGGCCTCCGACGTGGTTTTTTTTCAGTTCTTAACTCAAATCTAAGTATGTAAGTCAAGTCAATATTTTCCTAAGAGAGTGGTTCTTAAGTCAAAATGTTCTTAACTCAAGCCGTTCTTAAGTCAAGACCCCACTGTATTTCCTTCCCATGCTTGCAAATTTTGCAGCTTATAGGCCCCAGAGGAAAGAAAAATGGTTGTGGCAATACAAATTTATCCCTCCAACAGGACGGTGAAGAAGAGGTAGAAAATACATATGTCAAATCCTAATGGAGTTAATAAGAGTAACATTGTACTGTACTATGTTTTCTTCTTAAGAAGATTCACTTTACCTCAGTTGGACAGTTGAGGGTTATCGTATTTTCAAGCTTCTGTAGTTTTGTCTTTTGCCCAATAGGTTCCAACTGCACCAAAGGAAAAAGAAAAAAAAAGAAAAGCCCAGGTGAATGATATAACAATGCTTTGTAAGCAATAAAACCTATAGGAAAAGGGATAAAATAAATTGCAAATTCATTGTTACAGTCTGTTACAGTCTGATGTTTGAGTTTAAACTTTATTTGACCCGGATGGGGTTACTTGCTTTATATTTTAAAAATCTGAAATCCATGGAAGAGAATAGAACAATATAAAATATTTGGACAAAGAGTCTAGACACATATGCAGAGCTTGAGAGAAAAGTAGGGACACGGGACAGGGCCTTCTCTGTTGCCGCTCCCAGACTTTGGAACTTCTTAACATAGGAAGCCAGGCTGGCCGCACCTTGGCTGTCCTTCCACAAGAAGGCAAAGAGCTTTCTCTTCAGGCAAGCTTTCCCTTGTGACTGGCTACCTGAGTGAGGTTTTTTAAAAATAGATTGTTATGCATTATTGTTTTGAATATGTTTTTGACGTTGTTTTCATTTACTGTCTTTTAATGTGGTATTTATTTGATCCTTTTTTGTATTTGTATACTTACTGTTTTTAGCTTTAAACATTGGCTTTTAATGGTGTAAGCCACCTTGGGTCCCTTTTAAGGGAAAAGGGGGAGTAAAAATATTTTAAATAAATAAATAAAATATGTACATGAATAAAATCCTAGAAAGAGATTGGCCCTTACTTAGGCTGTGACTGCATTGATACATCATGTGGAAAATGCTCTGGGATTCGGACAATCTGATTTGCATTTTCTTCTTCTGAAGACTACATGACATAAAAATCAATGTGAATCACTTTGGAGTTTCTGCCTTCAATCTGTACATATTTTGTTTTCCTTTACCTTGGACATTATTTTTTTTTAATCAAATGCCTTTCCATCCATTCAGGCAGGGTGATTGCAGAAGCTGACGTAGAGGGGTTTGTAGCCATGTGTTTGAACTAGAGATGGGCATGAACCAGAAAAAATGTGGTTTGTGATTTGTGGCTACCCATGAACTATGAACCATCCAAACTTTTAAAAAATAAACCATGCTTAGGATGATGGGAAACTAAACCACCCCAGCCTGCCTCCTGCCCCCTTTCCATTGCCCCCATCATCTCCATACCTGGTCCTGCCATCTTTTTCTCCTCCTCCATCGCTGCAAATGGGTGATCTGGTACCACAGGGCCCCAAATCTGGCACCATGGGGTACTGGATCACTCATTTGCAACTCTAATCTGCCCCAGCCCTTTTCCCACTGCCTGCCTTGCCTTTCAACCTTGTCCTGATGCTTCCTCCTCCTCCCCTATCATTGCCAATGGGCAAGCTGGTGCCATGTGGCACTAGATGTCCCATTTGCAGCCCTACAGCCTGCCCACTGACACCATCATCTCCCTACCTGGTCCTGTCGCCTTCTCCTCTTCCTCACCCTCCTCTGCCATTGCCATCTTGAGAGACAGGGCAAACTACCCTTCCACGAGGCCCAGCCTGCAGTTTCTGCACATGCCCCACCTGTCCACTGATAGGTGGAGGCACGCACAGAGACTGGAGATTCAGCTCCCAGAAGGGAAGCCAAGCCTGCTCTATCTCAAGATGGCAACAGAGGCAACAGGACCACCGGTTGGGAGGTGACAAGGGCAGCAGGAGAGGGGTGGATGCAGGCTGTGGGGGCAGGGGGAACAAACCAGGAAGTTCATTAAATCATGAAAAAAGTTTGTGGTGGTTCCGGTCAGTTGAGGTTTGTTATGATTTGGGGTGTGGAGATGGTTCGGAGACAAGTCAGTCTTCCAGGTTGACAGCAAAGAGAATCACAGAGATAGTAGGTTCCTTCACCAGCAGTGTATTTACAGACTATGTACAATGGATCTACAGTACATACATCAGTCAATAGACTCAACAATAAACTTTCAGTATAAATGGAATGCACTTTGTGCAGCAACTCTCCAACATAACACTCCTGCTTCACCACAGGGTGCAGCACTTACATAGTTTGAACAGCCAGTCACTGGGCACATCACCCGATGTCTTCTCCCGGACATTACCTCATGTCCAATACACATTCCATGGATTGCATCAGCCTCATATGCTGACTCTGTGGCTGCACACCCGTTTTAAGATGGATGCCTATTAACAAACTTTGGTTCATGTACAAAAGAGTAAATTCTCTACTGTGGGTCATAATATCCTGACAGAGTTCATCAGTTTTGAGGAACTCAAACCAACACAAATCAATGAACCAATGTTTTTTTAACGAACTTCATGGGCTGTTTGTTTTTAGCTCACGCCCATCTTCCCATGTGCAACTTCACAGTAGATACCTTCATATTTTTCCTACTATGTGGTGGCACTCCTACTGAGATAAGTAGCCTGGAGCTCAGTGTCTAAGGCTTTGGAGCCAGAAAATACACCATTGCAATTCGCATCAGATTTGTTCTTTATGGTTGATGTTTCTTTGATATAACATCTCTTTGTGTTTATTAGGGTCACGGTGCTAAGGGTGCATAGGTTTTACTCAACATTCTCCAGCTGCAGTCTTTGCAAAATCACACCACTTTAGCAGTGAGGAAAAACGTTTCCTCTGCTGCCAATTAGAAGAGCCAATTTGCTCCAGAATAATTCAAACGTATGCAGATACAGGATGAAACTGTCAGTTGGGAAGCAGAGACCCACAAATAAATCCACCATATAACTACAGGTGTGACTATTTTGAACAACCAACAACTCCACAGTCAGAAATATGTTTACCTGCAGGGTAGACATAACCCGTTAATCTACTACTAAGGACATTTTACGTTTCAGTGCTTTTAAATTACTGCAGGGTTTTTTTTTTACATTCTGCACATCATTTTCTTAGCTTTGCTTCCCAAAGGTGGAAGATAAATCCAAATGGGCTCCTAGGCATTGATCAGGATTTCACTGAGCTACTTCCCTTCCAACATCACCTTTCTGAGTTCCCACATCATTTTAAAAAATATTTAAGGTGCAATAAACAAACAAATGTCCATCAACCATTTGTTGGCCATCATTACAGGAAAACAATCCATTGGCCAGTGGGGTCTTAAACTTCATTGTACTAGCTCCAATAGATACAATTCTTGGATTATTATGCTGCAACACACCACAGTCTTTTAAAGGAGAGGCAGGAAACCTGTACACATTCACACCCATGTTGATGAACAGGTATGAGTAATTTTCATTTCGTTTTTTTTCTCTCTGAAACGTCTGATGGTTAAACCTCTTTGACTAGTGAATTTTGGTGAATTCTTCAAAAACAAGCTGGAACTATTTTTTCATCTATCCATACTGATCCAGTTCAAGATTTACAGGTATCCATAGCAGGAAAAAGTTGCACTTTTTCATATGTGTTTCAAGGAAGGGCTTCCCAGAATCACACTCCTAATTCAGCACTTACAGGGCTGAATACACAGGCATACAAACCCAGATTTTATACATTCAGAATCCAGGGCCTTGCTGGACAATTCCCACTTTCAATCCCCCCCCCCATTTCATGCCAAAGAGGAAGAGATTTGTGAATTTTAGAACTGTCCTATAAAAATCAATCTGAGGTCAAAATCTTGTCCACTGCTAGCTGATTTGCCAGTCCTTAGTCCAACAAAATCTGGAAAACCACATGTTGCCCATCCCTGACTGAAAGATTTAAGAAAATCCAGGATTGCACTGAGATTCAGTCACGGTGATCACTTACCATGTTATTCCACAGACCAAGAGCAGCTAGGGTGTGAGTCTTCTGATGAAAGTGGAAGCAGTCTGCGGCAAAATAGGAAGAATCAGGCAATCCTTGCTAAGGGGGGGATGGGGATGGGATAAAAAACCAAGAGCAAAATAGGTATATTTATTCCCAACATGGCAAATATATTTATAATGAGAGAAAGCAGAATTTTGTGGCACCACAAAACAGATATGTTGTCGCATATACTTTTGAGGACCAGAATTCCCTTCACCCGATAAACAGAAACCTGCCTGCTACTGTCAACAGCGAATCAAAATGGTCATTAAATTCAAGAGGTTCACCTTGTGAGAGCTTAAAGGTACATCAGGTTGGCATAGTGACTGTACACGGAACAGGAGCAATAAGTTGCTGGGATGGGTATAGAGATACATAGACGTATTCCATCAATCCCTTCCAAAGATATGCTCACGCAATGTGGATTGCAGACCAAATATTAATAAGTGTGCCTTTTTAAAGAAAAAGCATGCTGCAACTGGCATGTTTTCTTTTGAAGGGGGGCAGCAGCTGGAGGGCCACAATCAGGAATGTGCTCTTCACTTCAGTTAGGGCCCATGCCAGCTTCTTGTCAAAAATCTCATCCACACCCTATTTCTGCAGAATCCTAATCTTGATCTAGAGCACATTCTTGACAGTGAACTCTACGTTAGGGGGTGGAAAGCTTAAGCCTAAACATGCTTTTTAAGAAACAGACATATTGTAAAGACTTGTTTGAGCCACAGGCACGGGGGAAAAAGGGTTATACAGAGCAACTGCCTTTTAAAGGGTTATACAGAGCAACTGCCTTTTACAGGGAGTGAATAGCCCTTTAGTGTTTGTTTGATAGCATTAATGCTAAAGCTGTTGCTTGTGAACTCGTTAAAGAGTGACACTCCAGAGGCATTCAACTGTTTTTCTCTATTTGTCCTTTGTACCATTTGGGAATGAAAGCGAGATGAGTGATCGCCCAAACCCTGTGAAACGCTGCAATCCACACCCCACTTTCCTGAGTAGTGATACATTCCAGGTGTGCAATCAGACTTAATTCCTCTGATTGGAAGCCTCTGGAGTCAGATACCACACTGTATTATTAAACTCAAATATCACGGTAAGCAGGCAGAGCCTATACATGTCCTATCATATGAACTCCTTGTGTTCATAGTTCTCGCTTCCCATCCAGTCCAAGAGGATCAACTTGAAACAGGTTTTGTTGTCATTGTGGCTGCTGGTTGAAAGTGCATTATAGTTGTTTCTGTGCAGGTGTGGTGGGAGAACACCATAACACCAAGTACCCAGGGAAACTGTATACCAAAGTCATCCATAACAAATCATACTGATGAGCTGTGATTTGCTATTTTTTTTAGGAGAGATATCCAGTGATTAGAAAGGGATCAGACTTGGGTGGTTGATCAGTCAGCAGTTGGCAGCATCCTGAACTATCATGGTAATATAGTGGCAACCGACCCACACCCACCTCTGTCTTTTAGTAGTTGAAGGACATCCTTACAATGAATAGAACACATTTTCTTACTGTCAGAGGCATCCGCTACTCAAGGAGAACAAATGGATCAAAGCACCAGGAGTACCCAAAATAGAAATCAGAACACTGTAGGAAAAGGGGAACGGTCTTGGACGATGAAGTGAAATGTCCACAGAGGTTCTGTCATCAGTTACATAAAAGAAACATTCCTCCCCTTGAAATGCTACAAAATAGGAATCAGATACAAATGTTTGAAATTGCATCCTAACCTGTTGTACTAATTTTTACTGCAACAATTTTCCTGATATGGTAAAGCCCAGTAAAATCTGCATCTACAGGAAAAATACATTTGTGAACTGAGATGAGAATAAAGGACGTGTCATTTGGACCAGACACTTTCAATCAACAAGTGATGCTTCTATTTCTGACCCTTTCCTTTGGCTTTTATGCAAAATGCAGTTTATTGTTCTTCATTCACAGGTAGCTTCCCACTCCATCTAATTAGCAAAGAAATCAGGAGGTTATCAGCTAGCCTTCTAGACCATGTTGGTCTGATTAAAGATGTGTCTAAAAACTGGGCCTGCTGAGTACTACGAAACATTAGCAGCTATTGTGAAAAAGGTAAAGTAGCTGGTCACCATGCTGTTCAATAACAATTTATACCAGAATCAACAACGTAGCACCTGTTTTGGGGTCATTCCATTCATTTGAAGAAGTGTGCTTGGATACACAAAAGCTTATGAAAAATAAAAACCACTTAGTCTTACAGGTGCTACACTGCTGCTACTGTTTTTTGTACAATTTGCAGCCATTGTTACTCCATCCTTCAATAGTGGGGGTTGTAGTTCCAGTTTTAAAATAGATTTTAAATATGTTAATTCAGTGATGTTTTAAAGTAATACTTCATTTCATACTGTTTTAATATTTCAATGCATTCTTCCTTTTTAATGCTGTAAGTATTTCTGAAACTCATGTTACATGCTGTAGCATTCACCCTGCTCATGAATATTGATGTTGAAATTTGCATGCACCAATAGGAGTTGGTGGGGTGGAGTTAAGTGGGAGAAAAGGAAAAGGAGAGAGAGGTAGAGTAGGCCAGGGGTCCCCAACCCCCGGTCCACGGCCTGGTAGCAGGCTGTGGTCTTGGCAGGACCGGGCCGTGGAGACAGAACCCCCGCCCCCCGCATGCACACACCCCTGCATGCACGGCCGTTCCCATCCATCCATGCACCCTGCCGACCTGTGAGCATACCCCACCCATCCGCACATGTGTGTGAGTGCCACCCACCTACCCGTACGTGGGGGACGGCCTGCTCCCTACACACAGACCGCACCCCCCAACTGGTCCGCAGTTTAGAAAAGGTTGGGGACCACTGGAGTAGGGGGTTGAGAGAGGAGAAATAAGTTTGTTTAGTTGAGAGTTAACAACACTGACTGGACCTTTATCACTTGTAACAATAAACAATTTCTACTTGGTTTTAAACGTGTCATTAATAGTGAACAAAGTTGATGTAATCAACTGGTGGCAGCTGAATGACATGTAGTGTGCACCTTTACTTGGTGAAACGACCAAGGGCCACGTGGGAATGTGACACATGCCACTGTGAATCCTTGAATAAAGAAAAGTGGTACATGTATGTGTATGCACACTTTTGTGTCCCCACCATATTCTGGCTGAAATCCTGGCCATATACTTATATGTATGATATCATCAGACACATCATTTTTCAGAGTTTAAACATTTCTAATTCACACACCACCACCACCATCAAAGCTCCTGAAGCTTCTGAGGCATTCCTTTCATCGTGGGCATGCTGTTGGGGGCTACAGGACAGGAGTGACATCTAATTTCCAAAAATCACTGCTGATGGGGTGATGTTACCAATAGCAGCAATTTTTTTGAAATATGAAGGCCCTGCCCCTATTCCATGGCCTCCAAAAGTTGCTCTATGATGAAGGGAATTCCACAGAAGCCTCAGGCAAAATCTCATGGATGATGGCATCATCAGTTTTACATGTTGTAGCGGCATAAACAGGAGTACAGCCTCAGTCCTGCTTAAAAGACAGCTGTCAAAATCAGTGGGACTTGAGATGATCCTGATCCTCTTTGTTTGTTTTTTGTATGTATAGTGTTTGTGGTCTGGGTGCTTCCCTTTCTTTCAGGGGAACCACTCTTTCCATGAAGGATGAGGTGCACAGCCTGAGCATACTTCTGGACCCAGTGCTATCAATGAAATCCCAGGTAGCATCTGTGGTCTGATTCACCTACTTCCATCTAAAGTGGATTGCCCAGCTGCATCCCTACCTTGACACAGGGTCCCTCATCATGCTGGTCCATGCATTGGTAGTCTTGAGATTCGACTATTGCAATGCCCTCTACATGGGGCTGCCCTTGGGACTGCTACTGAGACTGCAACAGGTCCAGAATGGGGCAGTCAGATTACTGAGTGGGGTTAGAAAATACTAACATATTTTCCCCACCTTGGCCACCTTACACTGGTTACCTATTCGCTTCCATTCCAGCTTCAAGATGATGGTATTAACCTATAAGGCCCTAAACGTTTTGGGACCTCAGTATCTAGCTGAGTGCCTCCTTCCTATTAGGTCTGCCCGTCCAGTAAGATCATTACAGGCAGGGCAGCTGAGAGTTCTGACCCTGAGAGAGGCCTGCAAAATGACCACCAGAAATCGGGCCTTCTCAGCAATAGCTCCACATCTGTGGAATACCCTCCCGCCTGAAGTCCGCCTGGCCCCCTCACAGTCCTGCCAAGACCACAGCCTGGTACCAGGCCGCAGACCAGGGGTTGGGAACCCCTGGCCTACTCTACTCTACCTCTCTCTCCTTTTCCTTTTTTAAAAATACTAAAAACCTAGTTGTTTAGACAGGGCTTTCTAGATCAAATAACATCCTGATGCAATAATGCTTCCGATAACATAATACCTAATTTACCACCATGTTTTCATACTATTTATTTTATTATGGCTCCTGTTGTATATTACAGTATTTGTTTTGTACTTTATAATTTATTGATGTTGTTATGTTTTGTGATTCTATTATTGTTACTGTTTAGCTGTTGTAAACTGCCCAGTGTGGTCTTGGTTGCCAGATAGGTAGTATAGAAAGAAAGAAAGAAAGAAA